CCCCAGCTAGAGAGAGGTCAGGAAAGTCAGATCCCATCCTACCTAGACACCCATGTCATGTGCCCTCCACACTGTTCTCACCTGACCGGCAGACAGCTGTGTGGGCCATCACTATCTTGCACTACTAGATTTCACATTATTTCCACACATTATTTCCACACATTGGCATGTTCCTTTGCTATTTGAAACTGATAGAACATAAAACAGGGTGAAGATCATATGGCTAATACTTGGAGGTGGAGCAGGGTCTTACCCAATTTATGTGTCCCATGAGAATGCTAAGGTTGGCCTTCATCTGTGACTGATGGGGGTATGGCCATTGGTCAAAAAGTTCAGACAAATGACATTTAAACCACCATCAATAAATGTAAGGCAACCGTCTCGTTAAAGTCTGTTTTTTCCTGTTATCTGATTTATAAATAAGGAAGGGGGCTTAGGGGTGAGGAAGGTGGAAGAAGAAAATAAGCAGACTGCAAAAGAAGCAGGTCCTTTCCTCCCCACTCCTAGCGCCCTCCTCTCCCCTCCTTCCTCCCCTCTATTTTGGCTTTTCTCCTCACTGCACCCGAGGGCTCTGGCTGATGTAATTCTAGAAGAGATGTGAAGGTGATACATGATTCACTCTTCTTACGTCTCAGTATTCCAGGGATGATATCACTAGCGTAAGAAGAGATGTTTTAAATGAAAACGAAGCAGAACAAACAAAAAAACTGAAAACTAATTTGCTCCTGACACTCGGAGGGAAAAGAGTGGTATGACAAAAGCAAAAGTAAGTCCAGTTGGATGAAATACACGTGCCAGAAAGCACCTGAGGCCGGTCTGGTTTACTCATCACATTTAGCTTCTCCTCCGTGCAAGGTGAGACTTGTGTTGCTCCTTTACGTAACCTGATGGCGCTTTAAACGCAGCGAGACTCTTTCCACGCTCTCCCCCAGCTAAGCTGTCCTCCATGCCCAGCAGCGCAGCCGGCTGCCTGGAACTCGGCCTGCCTTCTGCCGCAACAGAGCTTGTTGCAGGGTGCAGCGTGAGTCCCTACATCAACTTTTCTTGTTTGCTTGTATAACTTGTTGTGAGTTGAGGGGGAAGCAAGGAGGAGTAGGACGGAATAAAATAAACAACAGTATTACCCTCTCAACTGTTACAGTTTCAAAGGGCACCCGCTACCACACGCACACACACTCATACACACACACTCACACGCGCTCTTCTAAAGAAAACATCCCTCCCATTGCCCCACAGTCAGCAGAAGAGTAGATTTTAAACAAATTAGAAAGGCAGTGTTATACTAAGAAAGCACGATTCTCTCCGAGGGACAGAGTTGCTTTTAAGGGCTCTGCTTGTGAAAGAGAGAACTGGCTGAGGAATCCATCCCTGGCTCCACATTGGAGATTAAAAAACCTCATGGGAGTCACCAAGGATCATGAGAAACATAAAAATTCTATTAGGAGCAAGTTGCCCTCATTTCTAACAGGATTGAGTAATTTAATAAGCAGAACTCTTTCCTCTGTGTGGTATGCATCGGTAGCCCCAGCGTCTGCTGGTAAGCGATGCATGACAGAGCTGGAAATGTGTGTGGACCGCTGGGGCCAGGAGCCGTGTCTGACATGTCAGGGCTCCAGGTGGGCAGGAGGCCGCAGGGGCCAGGCGCTCTGTACTGTAGGCGACAGGTCTTTCTGCAGCATGGCCATATCTGCACCTGGCTTTTCCTGCTCCTGCTGGCTCAACCACGTTCACAGGCCACAATGTGCCTTGCACCAAACCCTCACCACCAGATCCTAAGTGACCTAATTTGAGCAGCTTAACCACCATTTTATTTTGGTGGTTTGAAAAGCTAGGTGGCCCTGCAGGTTGGCACTCGTTCCTTCCCCTCTCTAGGGCTGTTGAGTGGCACCAGCAAAGGTCCTTGTTTCTAACCTCCGCGGAGAGTGGCCCCTCTGACAGCTTCCTCCCCTGCACCCTTTCTTCATCTTGCTCCCAGCCCACTCCCTCCTGTAACATATCACTCTCCTCTGGCTTTGTTACCCAGCTTCCTGATCCCGGCTTCACTTCTCTTCCTTCCCACAAACCTAGCTCAGACCTTAAATCACCTAAAAGAAAAGAAAGCCCAAACTTGAAGGGAAAAACAAACCAAGCAGACATGTATTGGGCAGCACCACTCCCGCAGTTCCAGGGTTTGCTCTGGCCCTGCCCCCATTTCCAGATGAACAAACTGAAGCCAAGAAGAGGGATGTCCTGCCCAAGGTTATACAAAAATGGATCAAGACCCAGGGTCCAAACTCTTAAACCCGTACTCTTTTCACATCCCTCCAGTTTTTACAGCTTATAACCAGGTTTTTAGTTTTGGGATGGTAGAAACTGACAGTTGACATTTTCTTTATTTTCCCCTTTTTTTTTGTACCCTACATGTCATACATGGCAAATGCTTGATGATAAATATTTGTGATGCCATTTATCAATGCACCACCCCCATACTGAGTGTGAATGAGTACCTACCAGCTGGAGGTAGAGAATTCTCCCCAGGTGTCTGTCTTCCTGGGAGAATGCTCCTGGTGAGTGGGTGGCAGCCCCCATACGAACATGGTCTCCTGTTGCTTCCACCCCTGAGATCTAGTCTGGCAAGACCTCGCCCTAGAAGAGCAGGTCTAGTTTAAGGGTGGGGGAGCTGTCTCCAGTGCCTCATGAATATTATTAATCACCTCTATCCTTCCTGGTTGGCTGAGTTATCCAAGGACAGGTATGTGTTTTTAGGCATCTCTGACTCACCAAACTTAGTACAGAGCCTGGCACTTAGTAGGTACTCAGGAAATGCTAAGGAAGGAGTAAAGAAGTGATTCCACTTCAGGCTAGGAGAATAGGTCTGATAAAGCTCAAGGTCATCACCTTGAGGGAGGAGTCAAGATTTTAAGGATCTATGTTTGGAAAGCAGAGAAGATTAGGATTCAATAGACTCCTCAGCTCTACATAAGGTAGATTCAGTTCCCAAGATTTTC